CCCCATCTATACTGTAATTAATGAACGGTCCCTTATATGAATTATATGTTTGAAAGTTATTCTATATCCAAGTTCATTTATATTTGTGCAACACACCTATACTATTTTGTCAACTGTGTCAAAATGCTCCATTGTTTGTCGACTATTTTTCCATAAAATCAGAATCAATTAGAAACTTCCAAACCTCTATTGAGTACTAGACCTACCTAATAAAATTAAAATTAAAAGTTTTATTGAACAAAATTCATGTTCCAAAATAATTATGACAATAACAGTGGTATTTCTATATTCAGCCTGGGCATGCCCTGTAGAGTTCAGACTGCTTATTTCTTGTCAAACTCGCAAGAGGAAAACTGGTTTTATATCTTCAAAAACGTTTATCCACAAAAATTCAGTCCAACAATGCAAAATGTCCAACGATCCAAAAGACTTAATAAAATCAAAATTAAAAGTTTTATTGAACAAAATTCATGTTCCAAAGAAAATTATGACAATGGTATTTCTAATAGTATTTCTATATTCAGCCCTGGGCACGCCCTGTAGACTTTAGTCTGCTTATCTCTTGTCGAAACTGCTTTCCTCGAGTTATATACAAGTGAAAAATTACTTCCGCGATCTTTACAAAACAAATAAATGGCTAGTTCAGAGTATTTGGAGCCGTCATTGAAAAAGAAACCCAAGACAAAAACATGGTGTTCAGCTGTGAACTGTTCGAAGAATAAAAGTTCAAATCCAGAACTCAGTTTTTTCCGATTTCCGTCTGACCCAGCAAGGTACTGTAAGTTGTCTGGTGTGCTACAAATGATTTTTTTCACTTTGCTGTTCATGTTCAGGCCTTTAAAATTTAAATAATATACAAGTTGAAAATGATGTACTATAGATCCAAAGAATGGGTGAACTTGTGTAGACGTTTGGATCTGATGGACAAGACTAAAAAATATTGGTATAACAATTGTAAATTGTGTTCCGATCACTTTGAAGATTGTATGTTTTACAACGATCTCCGAAATCGCCTAAAGTCAGACGCAAAGCCAACTTTGTTTGAGATACCAAATCCTCCTCCAACAATAAGTTCAATACGACGACCACTGCAAAGGGAACAAACTTTGACTGCCCCTCCAGGTAATTACACTTCTTAGACCTATATAATTACAAAGATCATGCATGAAATAGTCTCCAACGGCGTAGTCAGCAACATAATTGGGTCCATACTCGTATATTCGTGTTCACATACTTAAAACAATGACTTCAAAAGAAATTAATAATGCAGAACAGGAATATATGAATATGAACCGCTCTCGTAACATCTAACCCAGTCAACTACGTATTTTACTCTACAAAGGCAATTAAATAACTAACCATCTTGGTTTAGAAAAAAAGAAGAAAACGGAAAAGCAATTAGATGATAAGACGTGTGTGACAAATTAAGAAATTTGTAAGTCTATATTACTAAGTATTACAGTAAACGTTAGTACACTTTAAACAAAGTAAACCTTTATTTCCGGGTCACAATACTATTTTTTACCGTTTATATTTCTAAATAGCTTAAATATTTAATTTAATCTTCGACTGATATCAAGCGTATGTTAGGGAGAGGCGAGTTACGGTTAATCTTCGACTGATTAACAGCAAGTGTATGTTAGGGAGAGGCAGGTTACAGGGATATACCCTTTCGATCTTTCGTCACGATAACGTTTCACTTTGACGAAACAAGGCGTTTGGTTTACCATTTTAAGCAGGACTCCCAGCCACAAACATACTCATGACGTAATTATTGAAACGGTCGCCAACAAGGGTGGATTTATAGGGGGGAGGGGGCGGGGGGTGCGCAGCCCTGTTGACTTGGTCAAACAGAGGTGAAAAAAATCAAATTCAGAAATACGGCATAATTTCCAATGTTTTGCCCATATCGCAGGAAATGGCATTTCTAGGGTTCTGATTTTCAAAATTTTCCGCGGGTATACCCCTGGACTCCGAGGAAATTTGCTCGAGTCATTAGGAAGCCAATTCATTTGAATGCTCTCCCACCACCTCCTAAAGAATTATAAAGAAACACTCAGCTGCTCACCCAGCACCCACCCCCTAGAAAAACCTTGCCAGATCCACCCCTGGTCGCCAAAGGGGCTACAAATTGAATATATGTACCTTTTAGATTGAGCAGATGGGTTAAAATGCGTTTAGAAAATCATTCATAATTTCAATGTCCTCTCATCATTATTTAGAAGTTCTAAATGTCCAAACGGACACAATCTTAACGGCATCGACCAGCAGTCAAACAACCGACGAAATTTCGAGCAACACCCCTAGAAAAATGAAGCAAAAACAGGCCATAAAGGCCCAAAAGCAAAAGATAAAAAGGTTAATATCATCATTGGGCAAGGCACAGAAAGGAAAGCATGCTCGGCAAGAAAAAGCCTTGGATGAAGCCCCAGCGAACCTGGCAAATTTTGTGAGGATGCAGATAAAATTGCACGGAAAGAAGAAACGAGGTAGAAGGTACTCACCTGAGTTAAAGTCATTGGCCATATCAATATTCCATGCCAGTGGGAAGGCTTATCGTCTGCTGCCAAAACGTTTCATATTACCATCAAAATCATCTCTTCATCGTATATTTCAAGAATGCCCAATAAGACCGGGATTTCTCAAGGGTCCTTAAAAATAATAGAGAACAAGGTTATGCAAATGAATCTCCGAGAGAAGGAATGCACTTTGTGCATGGATGAAATATCACTGAAAACAAACTTGTTTTCCTGTGTACCTGTTGGCAAGATCGTCGGTTTAGAGGACTTTGGAGGTGGTTATCGAACCAACAAAGTGGCGACGTCTGCTTTTGTTCTTCTCATCCGCAGCATTTCTGGAAATTGGAAGCAACCGCTTGCATATTATTTGGTGAATGGAGGATGCCCAACTGATACCATGGAGGATATTGTCAAAGAAGCCATTGATAAGCTAGAATGTATTGGCTTGAATGTTGTGGTGGTGATGTCTGCCCAGGGTTCAAATTTCTATAGCCTTGCCACACGTCTTAAAGTCACTCCTGATGAACCATGGTTCATGCACAATGGATGGAAGATCTTTTTTATCTTTGATCCTCCTCATCTGATAAAAAGTGTGAGAAACAACTTCATGAAGTATTCCTTGAGGTTTGGAGAACATGGAAAGATATTGAAGCAGTATATGTATAGATTCAGCACTGCCCATACGATCGGCTCCAAAATTGACTGAAAAACATATAAGACCAAATAATTTCAACAAGATGAAGGTGAAATTGGCTACACAAGTCCTCAGTCACACGGTTGCAGCTACAATTTGTATGTATGTTAGCGTCGGAGCACTTCCACCAAGTTCATTGAAAAGTTTGATTCGATTTATGATTGTGTAAATATTTCCACACTTTTCTCAACAAAAGTTCTCAAATGTGCCCTTAGTGACCAAACAAAACATCAAGAATTCATGAAAGAATCCATTGGTTTCATTAAAGGACTGAAAGTCTTTGAGGGAAACGTTGAAGTTACAGGTCGTATCAAGTGTCTTAAAGGATGGGTGATGACACTGAATGCAATACTTCTGATATGGGAATACCTAAAAACAACAAAAGATTTCAAGTTTCTTTTGACAAGACGGCTCAACACTGACCCCATTGGGAATTTCTTTGGCACCATAAGGCAGCAAAGAGGGAACAGTGACAATTAACCCAACGCCATCACAATTCACCAGTGCCTTCAGGAAACTCTTTTTAGCTCATTCCTTACATCGTCAGAAGGAAATTGTGCTGCTGATTTTTTAATGAGCTCCTTGCGAATTTTGAAAAGAAGCCAAAAGCAAAGCCACTTGTCACCAAGCCCAACATGGCTCACACATTACAAATTGGACCAACTGACTATAGGGATCAATGCATTGTTAACTCTGACATTGTTAAGGACAATGCCACTGCATATGTTGCCGGTTACCTCATCCATAAATCTATGAAGATCCACACCTGTCCCACATGCACAAATGCCATCCAGTGTAATGAGTTAGATGATAACAGAAAGCTGTTTTGTTTCTTCAAGGCCTTTGATCAAACAGAAAACACATTTGGAGGTCTTCATGCTTCCACAAATTGCTTTCTGGACTACATCATGAAATTGGAAGATGTATTTTTCAAAAACTTTTCAATTTGCACAAAGAGCCTGACTGTTGGGAAAGATATTCTCATGCTGCTCAAGAAAATGCCTATGCCATTTAAATGCTGTGATTAATTTCCATTGGAATTTGTACAAAAATTGTTTTTGAGGGTGCGCATCTACTACAGTTTGAAATTTGCCACTCATGAACTTTCCAGCACTAAAAAAAAGAACAGAAAATATTTGAAGGTAGCACATCTATACATGTAATCATACACATGTGAAATTACTAAGATGTTGCCACACTGAGTAAATCTACACCAGGCAAGCTGAAAAATCAACTTGACCACAGTGGGAATGCAGCCCACAACCTCTGGTTTGCAAGACCAGTGGATTCCAGACTGAGCTACACAACCAACACAGTTTGAATGTGTAATATTTCATTTGTTTTGGATCTTAGTCTAACTCCTTTAACATTCTTATCTCTAAAGACAGTTAACCTATTAAACAATGCTGATGGTAATTGAAAGCAGGTGAAATTATTAAGATGATGTAGACACTGAGTAAATCTACATGAGATTTGTGTGTTGCGATTTTGGGTCATGAACTGTAGTCTGCTCCATCAATTGCTTCATATAGATGTGAACAAATATCTTACTAATGCTTGTGATGTTACTCTGAGAGTATAATCCACACTGGGCAGGCTTGAAAAATATGCCTGGCCACAGTGGGAATCGAACCTAAGACCTTTGGAATACTAGCCCAATGCTCTGCCAATATCACATACTCGAACCGACCTGACCGCGTAGCTCAGTTGGCAGAGCATTAGGATAGTATTCCAAAGGTCGTAGGTTCGATTCCCACCGTGGCTAGGCATATTTTTCAAGCTTGCCCGGTGTGGATTATACACTCAGAGTAACATCACAAGCATTTTATTCACCTGAGTACATTACACCAACACAGAGAATCAAATATCTTACTGTTAATTATCCAGCAATCAAAGTTACAAATTATAAACCAGTTCTGGTGAAAATGGATTCAACTCGCGTAGTTTACTGAGTTTAGTCGAAAACCTTTTTTTGTTAATTAAGAAAAGAAGGCCAAAGTTATTTCCTTTCACTGATCAGGTATATAATTGTGTTTAGCAGTACGAATTATAACGATATTCACAGTATGAATATGCGCCTGAAATTTAAAAAATTCAACCTATTGCCTTCTAAAAACAAGACATGACGCATTTTTTTTCAAGCTAAGTCTAAGAATAGTTGCAATAATTTCAAGCTACACTCAGAAAAATATTAACATAATGCATATATATCCATGGCGCCCAAAACAGCACATACAGTGGCGACGCGTTTAAAATGACAATTTTAGCATTATTAAATAAGCTTTTATTATAATAAAATGAATAATCTACCTTTCTTTAGTACGTCCTGAAAATCTCAATAACATCCACCATAAAATAACGACGATATACTTATTTAAAGTTATGAAATACAAGTTCCGCCATATTAGTTTATAATGTTTTGGACCAGAGTTGGTTGCTTTCAACATGGCGGCCAAGACTCCTGAAGTAACTTGTGCCGGCACAAAAACTTCAAAGGTTCCGACTCGAGTGAAGCTTCTGCCATAGATTAGGAAATGAATAGATGGCTCACTCCTTTGATGTTTTTGACGCTGCCGGTACCCACGCATGTTCTTGCCAGAGTACTGGCGGCCAAGCAAGTAACTGAAGTAAAATGCATTGTGAAATTGACATCGGTGCTACTAAATCCTGTATTTTTATAATTCTGATTTATTTTTCCATTAAAACCGCTGAAAGCGGAAAAATACAGGATTTAGTAGCACGGATGTCAATTTCACAATACATTTTATTATAGTTCTTGCTAGGCCGCCATTACTCTGGCAAGAACATGCGTGGGTGTCGGCGGCGTAAAAAACATCAAAGGAGTGAGCCATCTATTCATTTCCTAATCTACGCTTCTGCCCTATTTCTTTTCTGTGCTCCTGTCGGCCGCCAGTTGGTCGGTACGTTAGGATCAAAACTGCGTTTTAAAGCCTTCAAAATAAAATATTTTGGGCTGAAAATACTATCAAAATGAGGAGAAAAGTGAGACGAATCCACTGGCATACGGCCAAAAACGAGAAAACCAACAATTCCGAAGTTATCAAGGATCAAACGGATCATAATAATTTTGAGCGATTTGTCAACAATACAATTTCGCTTATTAAAACTGCACATTAAAACCTTCAAAATATAATATTTTGGGCTCAAACTACTAACAAAATAAAGAGAAAGTGAGACGAATCCACTGGTATACGGCCGAAAAAGAGAAAACCAACAATACGAAAGTTCATGTTTTGCTCGCTACTCTGGTTTAAATAAATGATTACAAAGTCCAGTCGAATTGTAATCAAGACCCAACGTTTCGACACTCCAGTCTAGTGTCTTCATCAGGGGTGATCTAAGATTGCAATCGTGGCTTCTTAAATACCCAAGGGATGACGTCACCTGCCAATGAGATGCATATATTAATCCTCTGTCAAATAGGCACCTTCATCCCTATTCAAAGCATGATTACTCATATATATATATATATATATATATATATATATATATATATATATATATATATATATATATATATATATATATATATATATATATATCTC